AAAAAAAAAAAAAAAAAAGAAATGGAGACCCTCAGGCTCTGTCCCTGAGTCAGGGTCTGCATTTTAACAAGATCACCAGGGGATTCATTGGCACACTAGAGCTTGAGAAACAGCCTATAAAACACACAAGTCAGGGTGCCGTGGGAATGAAGGAAAAAGAGCAGCTAGATGTGCCTGGTGGGGCAGCGAAGGCAGCCCAGAGGGGTTAACATTTAAATTGACCTTTGATGGCAGGGCGTGGTGGTCCAATGCTTGTAATCCCAGCACTTTGCAAGGCTGAGGTGGGCGGATCATGAGGTCAGGAGTTCGGGACTGGCCTGGCCAACACAGTGAAACAGCGTCTCCACTAAAAATACAAAAATTAGCTGGGCATAGTGGTGGGTGCTTGTAATCCCAGCTACTCAGGAGACTGAGGCAGGGGAATCGCTTGAACCCAGGAGGCGGAGGTTGCAGTGAGCAGAGATCACGCCACTCCAGCTGGGGCGACAGAGTGAGACTCGGTCTGATAAATAAATAAATGAAATAAATAAATAAATAAAGCTAGACTTCAAAGATGAATAGAAAAGGACAGAGTGGGAGTGGGCGGGGGTAGAGGTGGATGACATGTGCCACAGGCAGAGGTGCAGGGCGTCCCAAGTAGGGAGAGTGGGCTGAGCAATGGTACAGAAGAGGGAAAGAGCCTGGGTGGTCGGGAACAGCCTTGGAACAGAGTGTAGGGGGAGTGGGGACAGATGGAAGACACAAGAGTTAGAGCTGGAGAGCCTGCAAGTGGCAGATAGTAAAAAGAAGTGGCCAGGTGTCTCAGTCCACTTCGTGGGGCTATAACAAAATGCTTGAGATTGGGTAATTTATTAGCAATAGAAATTTATTTTCTCATAGTCCTGCAGGCAACTGGTAAGGGTCTTCTGGCTGTGTCATAACATTGCAGAAGGCATCACATGGCTGGTGGGGAAGAGGGGGAGAAGGCAGGAGGTTAAACCCATCCTTTTATCAGAAACCCACTCCTCCGATATTGGCATTAACCTATTCATGAAGGTAGAGCCCATGTGGCCCAATCACCTTTCAACACTGTTGCATTGGGAATGAAGTTCCCAACACATGAACGTTGGAGGACGCACTCAAACTGTAGCACCAGAGATACACATTGGAATCTTCCTCCTCTCTCTTCTCTCCCCCTTTTCCCCTCCTTCCTTCCTGCCTGTGCCTTCTTCCTCTCTTCTGTATATACACTATTTATGCAAATAGAGATTCAAAGAAATGGAAGACATTATTCATTTCCCCTCCATAAAAGCTGTATATATTTAAGGTGGACACCATGTTTTGATATACATATGCATAGTGAAGTGATTACTGCTGTCAAGCAAATTAACATGTCCATCCCCTCACATAGTTACTTTTCTTCTTGATGAGAGCACCTGAAATCTACTCTTAGCCAATTTTCCAGTACACAGTACAGTATTATTAACTATAATCTTCAGACTGTAAGTTAGATCTCTAGACTCATTCATCCTACGTAAGTGCAACTTTGTATCCTTGGACCGACATCTCATTTCCCCAGCTCCCCACTCCTGGTAACCACCTTCTACTCTCTGCCTCTATGTGTTCAACTTCCTTAGAGTCCACATGTAAGCGAGATCATACAAGCTACTTCTTTTTGTAAAAAGGTACAATTTTTTTTCTTATTTTTTTTTTAAATTGTGAAGCTGGTGTGTCTCTCTGTGTTGTCCAGGAAGGTTTCAAATTCCTGGGCTCAAAGTGCTAGGATTACAGGTGTGAGTGCCGTGCCTGGCCAAAAGGCCCTGCTCTTGAGATATTTAAACCTACTTGAGGATGGCTGAGAAGAATAAGCTCCTGGAACTCAGAAATCTCATCTAGGGCACTGGTGGCCCTTAGGCTTAGCTTGAGGGGAGGCTGCTATGGTCCCTTCTTAAGAGGGTGAATATGGTGAAATGAGTTAGATCCGTGACACCCAGGGGAAATCATTCTACCACACTGAGGCTTATCTACAAGATGGAGATAAGGAATCTCTGGTGTGAATATTGAACTATCAATAACACCTGGCATATGATTGACATTCAAGAACCCTATGTTTCCTTTTATTTTCTATTTCCCTGAGAAAGAACCAACAAACTATTGGTGCCTGTAGTGCAAGCCATGGTTATATTTTGCTCTAGGACAATGTCACCGATCATCTTTATGTTTCCTACATTTGCTATCAATTCAACTGTTGTTGTTTCCCCAAAGTGAATTTGATAGAAAGCTCAAGCAATAATCTGCAAGTTTTCTCGGGACCTGACAGCTGGACTTCCTTACCCTCCACACCCCATGCCAGCATCCTGTCTGTACCTCATACCAACGGACCAATCAATCCAGGGCCCAGGTAAGACCAGCATCATCAACTCACTCATTGGTGCTCTTGGGGTTTACTTTAGCACTGGGGACTCAAGTTCATTCTTTTTCCTAGGGTGACTGGGTCTAAGCTATTGTCCTGACCTCTAAACCACTAAGAAGTAAAGGTGGCAACAGGATGCGTTCTCCTTATATAACTGGAGAAACAGCCCGGTCATATGCTGTATGGCCTGCGACCATTTGTCTTAAACCGGTCAGAAATACTTTAAACTATGGTGGTAGCAAATAGATACCGACTGCAGAGGAATTAAAGAGGAAAACTATAAATATACACTGAGAAGTCAAGACCCATGATTGTCCATTTTCCCATAAGTCACCCATCCTAAAAAGGGGACATATTGTGGATGGCTATCCTGTCCTCACAACCCTGGTAAGAGGGCTAAGTGCAGCACGGAGGACTATGGTTTAATCCTCACACTAGCGACCTGCATTAAGTTCTGACTTCTAGAAATCTGAGTGGGGAAGTGGGAAGAGAAGGCCCCTTTGAGTCTGACAGGCTGGGGTTTGAGTCCCAGTTCTACCTCTTAGTGACTTTGTGACTTTGGGTAATTTTCTTAGCCTTACTGAGCTCCAGCTTTCTTATCTGTATCATGGAAATAACATGACCTACGTACTTTGCAGAGTTACCATGAGCATCAAATGCAGAAATGAGAAAATGCATTAACATTCTTTGTAAGGAGTAACGTTCTGTGTAAATGTCAGCTATTATGCAGAATTTTGAGAAAGTCCAAAGTGGATTCAATATTAAAATATGAGACTTGGCCGGGGCAGTGGCTCACACCTGTAATCCCAGCACTTTGGGAGGCCAGGGTGGGTGGATCACTTGAGGTCAAGAGTTTGAGACTGTCCTGGCCAACATGATGAAACCCTGTCTTTATTAAAAATACAAAAATTAGCCAGGCATGGTGGCACATGCCTGTTATTCCAGCTACTTGGGAGGCTGAGGCAGGATAATCACTTGAACCTGGGAGGCGGAGGTTGCAGTGAGCCGAGGCACTGCATTCCAGCCTGAGTGACAAGAGGGAAACTGTCTCAAGGGGAAAAAAAAAAGATGGGATGTGGGATGACATCAGATGACTTGTGATTTGTAAGTCTAGAAAAAGTTAGGAGAATGTGATGGCCTAGAATCACCTGGGGTTGTTGCTAAAATGCAGAATCTGATTGGTAGGTCTGGGTGGGGGCCTGAGATTCTGCATTTCTACCAAGTTCCTGTGTGTTGCTGATATTGCTGTGGCCCACAGGGGTGTTGCCATGAGCTACCTGTGGTTGTCAAACACTTGAAATGCAGCTAGTCCAAGTTGAGATATATTGTGAGTGTAATACCCAAACAGGATTTTGAAGATTTAGTATGAAACAAAGAATAAAAATCTCAGTTTTTTAACATATGTATATATAAACATATAGCTGTATATGTAAATATAGAGGCTATTATGTAAATATCATGTAAATGTATACATATATAATAATTTACATCAAATGCATCAAATGCATGTTGAAATGATAATATTTTGAACATTTTGGTTAAATAAAATATTAATAATAGTTGTTTTTTTTCTCAATATGGCTACTAGAAAATTTAAACTTATATATGTAGCTGGCATTTATGGTTTGCATTTTGATGCTGATCTAGAGGATCATTTACATTTGACACTGAACTAGAGGATCTGAGGAAAAAGCATTGATTTGGGCTGTGGTAGGAAGTGAGAAACAGAATGAAGATGAGGTTCCCTAAAGATATTAAACAATCATGTGCCGAGTTGTATACTAGACACTTACATACACATAAGTCATCCATATATAAGTCTCCTGTAGTACTCAAAGGCAACTATAAGGCAGGTGTTAAAATTTCTGTTTTGCTGATGAAGAAACTGAAGCTCAGAGGCCTTAAAAATGTACTGAAGGTCCTGCAGTAAGCAGTACAGCTCAGAGCCCATCATTCTCCCACTGGCCCAGGAGGCATCAGAAGGGGCCTGTGAGAGATAATGTAGAAGAGCATCTTCTGATGACTGGGGCCAGAATCCCCACAAGCTGAGCTAGCACAGACAGAGCTCCGAGGATGGGCTTCTGCAGGTTTCATATGGTCCAAGGAGGCCTGTAGCACTGAAAAATGGCACCAGGCGAAGGATGGCATTGCCAACTCTGGTTTCCTTGTTGGTGTGTTTAACTCATTCCTGACTCCATAAATATTTTGTTAGAAACAAAACATAATAAATGTATTCAATATTGCCATCGGATAATAAGCCAATTATCAAGTAATGCAGTGTTGGGCAATGCAGAAACTCTCAAATGTAAGAGACATAGTGATGACTAAAGGCTGAAAACATTGGGATCGTTGTACCTATTCCAACTGCATCTATATTAAGGGTGCAAGCTTGCTGTACATTACAATCACCTGGGAAACTTAAAAAACTCCTCATACCCAGGCTGCATGCCAGACCAGTTCCATCAGAATCTCTAGGGCAGGGGAGTGGGGTAGGGGTGGACCCAGGCACCAATATTACTTTTTTTTTTTT